AGTTTTGTCAAAGTATATATCTAAAAAGAAATGTCATCATGGAAGAGAAGAGTGAAACATGTGCTCAAAGTTTTGTCGGCAGAACTCATAGCTTTTTTTGAAACACGTTGTTCGCTATTTATATTAAAGTTTAATTAATTATATTAAAAATTTAATTAGTTTGAATTTTATATATATATATATTATATGATCACTCATTGAAACATAAGAGTATAATATAATTAGATGATTTAAAGAATAAAATGAATGTTATAAATTATAAAAAGAAAATAGCGTTTTTTATTTTATTAAACAAATAAGCAAGTAGGAATAAATTGCCAAAATTAAAACGGTGCCTATACAAGCCTTTTCGATGAGAGAATGTAAAATTTATGTAGTTTTTTTAAAACATAAAAGAGTATCAATTTAGTTAATTAGCTTATTTTTCATGTTTTATTTCTTAACTATAAGTTAGAAAATAATATAACGTAAATCTGATCAGAGGAGTAATAATATATCTACTTTTATATTTATTATTTGTTAAACTACATTTGAATTTAAAGAGTTTAATTCAAAATTTAAATTCTAGGAATTTAAATTTTAGTTTCAATATAAAATTTCTGAAAAACCAACAACTAGATATAATTTCTAAAGCACAGACGATAGTAGCAAATAAAATAATTGATAACAGTCCACTAGAAATAATAAATAACCAACTAGAAAATCTTTATAAAGAAACAAAAGAAATTAAGAAAGAATTAGGTAAGCTTAAAGACTTAACCCTTTTATGAACAACCTTTTTTACCAAGAAGTTCTTAGAAAAATAGCCCAATTTCAAGCTAACCCTGAAGGATTATCAGATTATACCCCACCAAGCAAAACAGACTTAATAAGTGTAAAACAAAACAATCTAATAATTTTTGCTTTATTAGAATTAAATAAAAACCTAGAAGACCAAATAACTGAAATAAATAAAAAATTGGATAGTTTATTAGAAACTAAAATCCCTAAAAGAGAAGATAAGCAAGAAAACGATATACAAGCCTTAATAGAACAGCTCAAAAGGACTGAAATAACCCCTCAAAAAGATAAACTTAAAAGTTTCTCGGTGATAAAAAAAAAGAAAAAGAAAAAAAAGATAGACTTAAAAGAAAAGAAAAAGCATGAACCTTTTTTCAAACAGGAATAGAAGTTCCCAAGAAAGACAAAGGGCTGGTTTCTCTCAAGATAGACTAGGAAACAATATGCTAGCTCAAATAATGAACTCATCTAGACCAAGTAGTAGTCATCAGTTAGATGAAATAATAGATGTAGATAGAGATATAGAAATATTTAAGCAAAATAAATTAAATTATTAAATCCACAAGTTTTCTATAATACATGACTAATTTCGTCAACAACACAAATATATAGACATTATAGAGAAGAACAATTGAGTGTATCAGAGAACGATAGTGAAAGTATAAATTTAATCATTATAGAGAAGAACAATTGACAGGATTTTTCTCGTCAACAGCTCATTTATACAGACATTATAGAGAGGAACAGTTAAGTGTATCAGAAAACGATAGTGAAAGTATAAATTTAATTAGTAAAGAATATATGCAAGAAATACAAAAAAGACAAAGGAATCTCATGCATATGGAATTAGTAGTAATCAGACTTAATGGTTTAACTAGAAAAAATCTAGGTACTAAAGTATTAATCACTTTATATGATAGTAGATGGTCAGAATCTAAAAGATCCATAACAGGTTTAACGGAAGTAGACATGAGTAATAATGGAGGAATTTTTTACTGTAGTCCAGACTTCATGATAAATTCAAAAGAATTTGGAAAATACATTAAAAAAAAAAGGCATACAAACTAAGGGTTACGAAGAAATGAACTGTGGAAACAACCTTTTAGTTTGTGTTGGCTCTATAGGAAAATTAGCCACCAATAGCAGTTCAAGGTTCAAAATAAAAATAGACGATGTGGTAGGTATAATGGGAAATAAAGGAATCAAACTAATGAAACCTTTAAAAATAAATTCAGAAGAATATGCTGGTAGAGAATGGAATTTAGAAAAATTCTATAAAAAAGAAGTATTAAGACATAATCTCTTTAGCCTTTTCTTTGAGTAACTTGCAAAGGGAACTTGTTATTATTTTTTCTATTCTTTTTTTTTTTCTCTTTTGTTGGAATCCTTTTGTCTTTTTGCTTGTTTCTGCCACCGTATTGAAACTTGCTGGCAGAATTCTTACACTTTTTGACAAAGTGTCAGCCATCAACGGATTTGATGAGTCTTTACCCGCTACCGTTTGAACAGGACTAGCTGTATCTCTAGCTGATACAATAGCTCTTTCTACATTCGTTGGGGAATGTACACCCGTCTTATCCATTTTGTAATGAGATGGAGAACTCTTTGGTCCTTTTGGGTAGTCTTGTATTTGTAATGGTATGGTTTGATTTGTATTTCCAAGTAAAAACCTTATCCTCTCTTGTAATGAGTGGATATGTTGTGTCATTTTTCCTTTTTCAGTTTCTAGTTTTTCGATCGTCTGATTTAGTCTTCTGAATCCTTCCGTCATTGAAGAACAATGATCGCCAAAAATTATTTTGTATGTATCCTTTTGAATATTGTATTGCAAGAAGGGTCTTGAAGTCTGTCTTAAAGCTGGGCTTATGAAATAATTGGGCCCAAGAGCTCCTCTAGCATAGTCTAGTGCTTCATTCAAATCATTGAATCCTTTAAAAAGTGGGGTAGGAAAGTCTTTGATTGAGTCTATTACTTCTATCCATGTCTGAAAAACTCCTGGCAGTTTTCCTTGAACTACTACGTGAAATCTGAATTTTTTATCCTCATTTTTGTCTGTAAAATAATGGCTTTATGAATTTACTACTGAAATGAAATAGCTATTATCTCTAGGAATTTTGTTGTATGATATCCACAAGTAGTCTATTAGGCATCTTTGGGGTTTATCTATCTTTGTTTCTAGGTTTACCCTGAAACTTAGATTAGATGGAGGGTAGAAAATTAGATTTTGTTTCCCAAAATGTAGTCTTTCCATGCTTGTAGCATTCAGTCTTGCTTCTTCGACTCTTGTCTGTGGTTGAAATAAAGTGTTTCTTAATAGAGTCTGCAAATATAAGTCTTTGTCTTTCTGTCCACTGTTACTTGAATTTAAACTGGATGCTTTGTCTTTGCCTGTACTCATTCTGAAAATTAATAATTAGTTTACTTATTCTAAGAATTTAATTTGTATTCTGAAAATTAATAATTAGTTTTCATAAGTCTGCTTAGTTGATTTGCTAAGGAATTATCTTTTCCCTTTATATGTTCTAGAGATATATTATAGATTGATGTAGCGTCTAAAAAATTTAGCCATCGTCTTTTACTACTATTTTTTCCTTCTATTTTTTGGTGGAATTTTACAATATCCTCGCAGTCAGTTCTTACCAAAATTTTCTTTTTATTAATAATATATAATTTAAAACTATTTAAATCATATATCACTGCTAGAATTTCTGCATCTATGCTACTCATTTTGCTTTTTCCTTGTACTTTCCACTATGATAGGCACAAATTTTTTCATCTTTTTTGTCTCCATATTTATTGTTCTTTGTTTTTGATACTGCTCCCCATCTTTCTAGACTCCCGTCAGTTTCCACTATTGGGTAGTCAGTTTCTAGTGGAAGGGCTAAACCTGGTATATTTTTAACCATTTGTTTAACCTTTTGTACTAGTTTTATGTCTTCCATATTGAAAGTCTTTTGTCCATGAATTCCAGTCTTAGAATATAAGGGTCCGGCTATTTTTTCTAGGTCTTTTATAAAATTTCGTGCATAATTTAATATTGGGAAAAGGGTCAAAAATACCCCAAACTTTGGTTTATTGTTTGACTTTACCCTCGCCGTTAAAATGAAGTTAATTTTACCCCTCCCGTTACTAATTTCACCAAAATTACCCCTCATTTAGACGGAATCCCCAAAATTGATCCAAATTGACCCAATTACCCGGTATTTTTAAAAAAAAAACCTATTCCCTATTTTTTAACCCAATGACCCGACCCCCTCTAGGAGAACCCGGTACCAATTAACCCAATTACCCATTTCCATTTACCCATGCTCTCTCTTTAGATAATCTCATTTTCTCCCAAATTTACCCATTAACTTCTCCTCTGATTTCTACAGCGATCTTGCTCAACAAATCGATTCTTCGCCAACGAAAGGTAAGATTTTTGGATTTTAAGTTGTTTTAAATACGGCATCTCTCTTTCGTTCTTCCTGCATCTCTCTTTCGTTCTACCCATTGTTCTTCCAGCATCTCTTTTTCTTTCACCTCTGATTTTTCTTCTCAGAAAATGTCACAAAATAGTTATTCGTCTCAAAGAAAATGTTCTTGTGGTTTGGTGGTCAAAACACTGATTTCGAGTACTACATCTAATTCGGGAAGAAGGTTTTTCGATGTCCTCGTCCGGATGTAAGTATATGAACTGATTTATTCCTATTATTGATCTGATTTGGTATTTCTTCGTATGATCTTATTTCGTATTTATTCGTATGTACTGATATCGAGTATTTTTATGGCAGTTTTCTTCATGTGGATATTGGGAATTACCATGAAGAAATCTTAAATTCATGGCAGTTTTCTGTGAACATGAAGAATTACCAAGTGTAAATAATATATGCTCTATTGATGGAGTTCTTCATATGGAGGCTCAAGTCTTTAATAAAGGAAAACGAAAAAGAGATATGGTTTCTTGTCGTGAATATTACTGTTACAAAATTCAGATAAGACAAGATGATGAAAATGGAGTATTGCATTGTGGTAGATTATTTCAACAATTTATAGTTGATGTTTTTCATAAAAGTTGAAACACAAAGATTTGGATTTTTGTCTCACTTTAATCAAGACTTATTCCGAGTAGATTATATTTACAAGGAATTATTGACTTTTTTGCGAGTTGGTGAAACAGAGGCTTCCAAAATTGGCAAAAAACATTCCTCCCGGTTACTTTCATAGGTGGACCAAGAGATATGCGGCGTCGATATATGGATGCTATCGCCTTAGTACAACACTTTGGAAAACCTGATCTTTTTGTGACTATGATGTGCAATCCATCTTGGCCAGAAATTAAACAACATATGTTATTGATTGATGAAACTCAAAATAGACCTGATTTAGTGTCACGTGTATTCAGAGCGAAACTAGAAGAATTAAAAGTACATATTTTAAAGAGACACATATTTGGAAAAGTTGCTGCTTTTATGTATACTATAGAATTTCAAAAACGGGGTCTTCCACATGCTCATTTTCTTATAATTCTTACTAATGAATATAAATTGTTAACACCTGAATCATATGATAAATTTGTTTGTGCTGAATTACCTGATTCTAATGAACAATATCTTTATTCACGTGTCCTTCAACATATGATGCATGGTCCTTGTGGTGATATAAATCCTACAAATTCATGTATGGGAAAAAAGGGCTTCTGTAAATTTCAATATCCAAAAGACTTTGTTGAACATACATCAAAGGGAAAAAATTCATATCCACTTTATAAGAGACGTAATACTGGAACAACTGTATACATAAGAAAACATCATATGGACAACTCGTGGGTTGTCCCATACAACCCATACTTGCTTTGTAAATTTGATTGTCATTTAAATGTTGAAGTTTGTTCAGATATTAAAGTTGTGAAATATATTTACAAATATATTTGCAAAGGACATGATAAAATTGCATATTCTCTACATGACAATGCAGAAATAGACGAAATAAAAGAATATCGATCTGCAAGATGGGTTTCGCCACCCGAAGCAGCCTGGCGTTTATTTGCTTTTCCTATTAGTGAAATGACTCCAGCTGTGTATCATCTTCAATTACATTTAGAAGGACAACAATTTGTTTCTTTTAAAAGAACCGAAAGCGTGAATAAAATCTTAAATAATCCAATGATAAAAAAAACTATGTTAACTGAATTTTTCTCTATGAATAGAACAAATGACCATGCTGTAAATATGAAATTATTATACAAGGAATTCCCGCAACACTTTGTATGGTCTTCAAGAGATAAAATGTGGACACGTCGAAAAAAACGTGATGTAATTGGACGTGTTGTGACATGCCACGTAACTGAAGGGGAAAGTTATTACCTCAGGCTATTGTTAATGAATGTAAGGGGACCAAAATCATATAAAGATCTTCTCACTGTTGATGGAGTAACTTGTAGCACATTTCGTGAATCTGCAGAAAAAAGAGGATTGTTATATTGCAACAATAGTTTAATTGAATGTATGTTAGAGGCTGTCAGTTATCAAATGCCATACAGTTTAAGACGTTTGTTTGCTACATTATTAGTATATTGCAATCCTTCTAACCCAAAAGAATTATGGGAAATGTTTGAGGATTCACTTTCAGAGGACCTCTAAAGTTTCTCCAATACTGAACCAAAAAATAGTTCGATATAAGGTTTTAAACCATATCAATGATGTCTTACATTCTATGGGGCATGACATAAATGAGTATAACCTTGTCTTACAGATTATTAGACCTTCTGAAACTACAAAGGACACAAAAGATATCCATTTTGAGAGAAACATAATTGTTAGTGAAGAGGACTTGTTGTTACCAAAAAAATTAAATGCTGAACAACTTATATCGTACAACACAATTATTGATAGAATATCTTCTAAGAAGGCAGGAGCTTTTTTCGTTGATGGTCCCGGAGGAATAGGTAAAACTTACTTATATCAAGTTGACATAGATGATAATTTTTGTTGTAATGTTAGTAAACAAAGTCCACTTGCTTGTTTAATTAAAGATGCAAAATTAATTGTATGGGATGAAGCATCTATGGCAAAAAAAAACATGATTGAAGCTCTTGATGTACTTTTGAGAGATATAATGGATGTCAAGACACTTTTTGGTGGTAAAGTCATTGTATTTGGAGGTGACTTTAGACAGACTCTTCCAGTAGTGCGAAACGGGAAAAAAGAAGATTTTATTCATCAAAGCTTATTATACTCCAACATTTGGAATGATCTTGAGAAATTACATCTATCTGAAAATATGCGTGCAAGAACAGATCCATCTTTTTGTGAATATCTACTTAGAATTGGAAATGGAAAAGAAACACCTCAGTGTGAAAACAAAATTGAGATTCCTAATTCTCTTATTATTCCTTTTACAACTGAAGAACAATCCTTAGATACCTTATTTAACGTAACATATCCTGATTTATGTACATTTTCTTCTGATTCATCTGCAATATCTTCTCGTGTTATTTTAACAACAAAAAATGATTTTGTAAATGAAATAAATGATATGCTAATCAGAAAATTTCCAGAAAGAGCTACAACATATGTCGCAACAGATGAAACTGTTGAACCAAATGATCAAAGCCAATTTGAAGACTTTTTACATACTTTACACCCTCCTGGCTTACCTCCTTATAAGTTAACTTTAAAAGAGAACTGCCCAGTTATGTTGTTACGAAATTTGAATCCTTCCGAAGGTTTATGTAATGGAACACGATTAACATGTTGCGACCTTAAAACGCATGTCATAAGTGCTAAAATTGAAAGTGGTGACTTCAAAAATACACATGTATTTATTCCAAGAATTCCATTACTGACATCACAAGATGAGAAAATTCATGTACAATTTAAAAGGACACAATTTCCTGTGCGATTGTGTTTTGCTATGACTATAAATAAAGCTCAAGGTCAAACGTTAGATTTTGTTGGAATTTACCTACGAGAACCTGTTTTTTCACATGGTCAATTATATGTGGCTTTATCAAGAGCAAAAAGTTCAGAATGTGTCAAAATACTAATTCGTCCCCCTACTGGAGACAGTAATGATGATCATTCAACATATAATATAGTGTATGATGAAATTATTCAGAGAGCCTTCTCATAGGTAAGGTAACAATTGACTTTGATATAGTTAATTTCATCAAACTTTCCATTGTAATTTTTTGTTGCTATCAAAAAATTATGATTCACTAAAGCATGCTAGCCTGCAGTTCTTGAATAGTTACTTCTCGAGAATTTTGTTATGCAAATTCATATCCTATTTCTTGTTATGAAATGCCATTAATTGACTTGGCCATCTGAATTGGTCAAATTTAACATGTTCTGGTCTAAGCCTCATTCACTAGCACCACCACCTGATTCACCATCCAGAATTGAAGAATCGTAAGCTGGAGAACCTTTGTCAACTTCAACGTGTCTCTAAAACTTGTTTCTCTGATTCATTTTAATTTAAAAGTTATGTTGTCTGTTTGTTCTTGCTTCTTTTCCTTTTTCCTCCTATTTTCCTTTTGCCAAACTAATTCACTTGATGTAGTGGTTTGTCCATCTGATTTCACTGGTTATTTCACCAACAGAACAAATTCCAGAAATGACTTCTAACTACTCAAGACAAAGGATGAACCTGAAGCTTTTCTGAAAACTCTTAATCTACACAATGGTGTAAGGCAGATCGAAGGGAATACTCTTTGTTATTGTTCTGTATTTTTATTTCAACACTAAGAGGAATAGTCAATCTCTTCTACACTGCGGAGGCCGATAGTTCAAGAAACTTGGATCCTCAACAGGCCTTCCAATAAGTATTATTTTCCATTTCCTGTATTTCCCAGTTGCAAAAGTCTCCTGCAGCTGCACTGTTTCTATAGGTCTACGTTCCTGTAACACATATTCATAAATCAATAATCCTTCACGATACACTTAAACAATCACAACTTTCCCATCAATCATGTAGTGTTTGTTTCAACTTATATATTCCCTCTGCACATTTACTCACCAACAGGCTTTAAACATGCTTCAGCGTCTTCTTTCCTTTATATGTAATTATGTATACTACTTTGTGCATCTAATAATTAGACTGCAAGGTTAATTGGTACTGATACATCGGTGTCGGACTACATTTGTGGTGAGAGAGGATTTTATTCGCGAGAGCATCACCTTTGAAAACTCTGCTCCTGAGATACTCTATATTTTGCCCTTTTTTGCTCTTTGCAAACACTGCACGTACATTCATCTTGCTTCCTTTCTTTTTAGTCTTCTGCAACAGAAATGATGATAGCCAGTGGTAATCAAAATTACTGATCATCGTTCTTTTCTTTATTACACAATGCTTGTTATTAAGAATGATGTATTGGATAGTTCAATTCTGTAAGGCTGATTAACGAACGAAGAGTAGTGCATTTACAGGGAAATTAGGTGTAAACATCCTCAAGCAATGGATCCTTTTGTTGAGAATAAGACTTATATGACCATCTTGTTCTACAATAAAATAATTTGCACAGGATTTAAAAAGTTTATCGGAAATTCTAATTCAAACAACTACCTGAAGAAACTTTTGGATGGAAAATGTTGCAGGTTCTGCTGGATCAAGTTCAAAGGGAGATAAATCTATTATACTTGCAGTAGCTTTGCCACTATTGTTTGCGTTGATTCTTCTAGGTTTAGGTGTTGGCCTGATTCTTTATAAACAGAGAAGGAGAGAGGATCCAGTGGTTACGACAAGGGGTAAGTGAACATAACAAGTTTTTATCTGTTGAAAAGCCGGAAGTAATTAATGGTTATTAGTTCTGTATTCCATTAGTATCTCTTTTCAAGCTCATCGTTTGAACAAAGTCTGCTTGGTTGTTCAAATTGCAGGGAGATTTAGTGGTCACAACAACAAGAATGATAACAACAATCAAAGTCACCATGAAGATTTTGAGCTACCACTTCTTGATTTGCTTACATTAGTCAATGCTACTGACAACTTCTCAATTGCGAACAACATTGGAGAGAGGTACCTTTGTTTTGTCTACTCTACAGTCATACTGCACTGCCAAGGCAATTGAAGAAAGAGGCTACATTTTCCGTTTGAGAAATCTAACCGCTCCTCCACACATTCTGAGTCAATAAATTCTCTTTGAATGCATTCACAGGATTCAGTATAGCTTGTACTTTTCCTTCGCTTTTCAGTATCTCAGCTGTTTACTTATTTATATGAGGTCCTGCATAGTAGTATATAGTAATAGCTTTTATAAGTGTTTTACATTGGTTTGAAAATGTCACTTTTACGCTAACCTCTTTGATAAAACTCAGGTCTCAAAAGAAAAATCGACCAAGTACATGTACTGATGCCTTATTTTGAGATCATTATTTGTTATACGCAAATTTTTCAAGTTCATTCATTTTGAAACTCGCTGTTTGAAGTTTTATATAACTGAAGTTCAACCACATATAATTGCAGAACTTCCAATTTTCCTTCTGATTTTGATTTAAAGTACAAAACAGGATTTGGGAATCATTTCTCATATAAAGCTATAGTTGGAGCTCTACCTCAACTTCAAAATAGTCCTCTTATTTACCCCTCTACACTTTACGGTGAACAAATCTCTGCCACCTCTTTTACTTCCCCTCGCAAACCTAACCAACACAGGTAGCTACCTTTCCGTTTCGGTGTAGTTTTTGTTTGAAGTTTTTTGTACAATTCTCTTAACCATCCTCCTTTGTTATCTCCTATAATACTTCTCGTGTAACACTTCCAAATTCTGCTAATTCTGAATTGGTATAGGGTTATAGTTGAAAAAAAGGATTTGGATATAACACGTTATTAGGATTTTGGTGTAGTTTTGTTAAAGTGTTTTTACAATCCTCTTAACCATCCTCTTTTATTATCTCGTGTAATACCTCCAAATCCTACTAATTCTGAATTGGACATAAAGTTCAAAATTACCATCCTTAATTAATGTATTTGGATAGTATAGGGTTATGTCCTTGTGACAAAGCACGGAATATACCTGCTACTTTCTTGTTATGCTTTATTTCTGTTAAATTATAATTAAGATTGAGATATAGCTGATTGCCTCAACCTATCCATTGATAATGCGTATCTTGTTGAAAATCCAGGTATACTGCCAACATATCAATAGAGAAATTGATCGTTAAAAAAGAACAATTTTGACTCAAGGATATGTCGCTGAGACATTTGGAACTCATTTTCAACTTCCTCCTCTGGAACCAATAGGTGCTTTAAAAAATGCAAAACTACTTGCTATTTATACGGCTGATAATTTTAGAAGCAACTGAGCTCATTCTCTGAAAAGATTTACGCATTGATTCAAATGCTTGATTCTGTCTTCACTAAATTTCCTTTGCACTGATGTTTGTTTCTCCTAATAGTTCTCCTGAAGATCATTGTCAGCCATCATCTGCCCCTCATCTGATCCGACTGTCATACATATTTGCGCCACAGATGCTCGTGTTGGGCCCGGGCAACGCCCGGCCTGCCTTTACTAGTATTATATATGTGTTAAATCAAAATAAAGTTTGAATTGACAGGTGCTACTTTATGTTATTTTATATTATTAAAGGGTCCACTATTTTGATTGCAAACATCTAAAGCTTGCATTGAGAAAAATGATTATTTTTGCCTGCTTTATAACATAGTATAATAACTAGATATAGGACCCCGTGCCAGCACGGGGCCCAATATATATATATAATATTTAATTTTTTATTTAATTTTTTTTAATTTATGTCATATTATGGAATTTGAGAAGTTATTGAAAATTTTATATGATTTTTAAAATATTTTAAATTGTTAGCTATTGTGATTTGTAGTACTTTTTTTAAACATAATTTTGAAAATAATATTTATTACTCTCTTTGTTCTAATTTATGTGGCACATGTAGAATTTCAAATATTAACCCTTTTTTATATGTCTCTTTAATATATTAAGTTGTTAATTATTGTATTTTATACTACATTTTGAACCTACTTTTTTAATAATATATGTTATTTGCCATGTCCCAATTTATGTGGCATTAATTGATAGATTTGTTGGAGCTGAGAGATTTATTTTGTTAATTATTGTAATTTATAGTTTCTTTTTCGTCAATTTCAAACAATATATGTTGTTAATTGATAGATTTTTTGGAGTCGACTATTTTTTTTATTAATTATTGTAATTTATTGTTTCTTTTTCGTCAATTTCAAACAATATATGTTGTTAATTGATAGAATAATTTTAATGTAATTTTTTTAAAAAAATATGTGTGACTGTCCATGTCCCAATTTATGTGGCACATGTAAAGTTTTGACAATTAACCAAAATTTTAATACATTTAAAAAAATATTTTTAAGTCGTTAAATTTTAAGTAATAAGTAATTTAAATTGTTGTATTATTTATTACAATTTATAATACTCTTAAAGTAGTTAAAATATTGTACTATTTATTATGATTTATAACACTTTTTTAAAAAATTTATGTCATATTATGGAATTTGAGAAGTTATTGAAATTTTTATATGATTTTAAAAATATTTTAAATTGTTAGCTATTGTGATTTGTAGTACTTTTTTTTAACATAATTTTGAAAGTAATATTTATTACTCTATTTGTTCTAATTTATGTGGCACATGCAAAATTTCAAATATTAACCATTTTTTATATGTCTCTTTAATATATTAAGTTGTTAATTATTGTATTTTATAGTACATTTTGAACCTAATTTTTTAATAATATATGTTATTTGCCATGTCCCAATTTATGTGGCATTAATTGATAGATTTGTTGGAGTCGAGAGATTTATTTTGTTAATTATTGTAATTTATAGTTTCTTTTTCGTCAATTTCAAACAATATATGTTTATCATATAATCCATTTTATGTGGTACCAATAGAATTTAGAGAGTCAATAAATATTATATGTTACCTTTTTTATCTTAATTTATATGGCATTGATAGAATTTAAAGTGTCAAATAATTGTTAATTATTGTAATATATAATATGGAGTATTTAAGTCATTTAGAGTATAGTAATTAATATATAATATGTAGGATTTAAGTGGAAGGTAGTGGGGCCCACATATAAATATATTGGATATTAGTAGTGATTCTTATTGGAACACTTGTTACCTTGTGGTGAAAACTTAATCCCTCTTATTATATAGTAAGTAGATGGATAATGGCCCGTGCCAAGCACGGGCCCAACATGTTTGGAAGGTATTTCATGTTTTTAGCACTTGAATTAAAATTTATAAAGCTCTACAGAGCATATAATCATATAGATACAGAGTCAAATACATAATCGGTTATTTCGCAATACTTTAGTCAAGCCAAGAAATCTTAATACATCTCATCTCCTTGAACACTATATTTAACACAAGGAGCTCTCCCAAAATCTGCTGCCATTGTCATCTTCCTCACCCTCTTCAGTTCCTTTATGAACTTGCATCCCCTAGTAAAGCAGGTCCTTGGAGAACTTGACATCACTCAACTCTATGCAAATTAATCTCACTTTTGCTTGAGTAGTGGATTAATCTAAAAACACCATTAGGTGAAGAAAATATATCTAAAAACACCATTAAAAGGAGAATGAATCAGAGATGATGTAACTTAACTAAAACATTTCAACAAAGTAATCACACTCTCTTGGCATGAATTGAACGACAAATAACTCGCACCAATAGCCCCGTATATAGGCAATAACACAGATGAATGGATATAAAAAACTGATTGCTACATAGAACGACAAAAAAAAGGATTTCAAGAACTTAAAGGTTATGACCAATGCTCCAAAATATTGGCTTATAATTATAATGAGATTGATATTGGTTTTTCGGAATATACTGAATATTCAAGATCTCATAACAAGAAAATAAAACTGATAAGCACTTAGCAGCTAGTCAAACAAAAGAACTGCCACCCTGACTTCTTCCCTAGAAATACCAAAATGTACGCAAGTAATGTATCGGTAAATCAGTTGAAACCTATAAGTCAGACCTTTTTTAGAAAGGATTGTAGTTATACAAAATGTTGCTATGTCTAATAATTAAGAAATAATATTCTAAAAGCATATATATGGTACAACAATATACATGCACGCTATTGTGAAGAGGAAAGAGCGATTAATTTTGAAGGTACTTGAACAACACTAAAATAAGCTTGAGAAGCAGTGAGTATCTTCGAGTTTGGTGAATCATAACCCGCATAGAATACCAGAAATAAGAGATTGTATTCCGAAAAGAGAAAAAGTTAATTGGTACACAGCAATACGCTAAATAATGAAATCATAAGGTACAAACATACAACTGTCCAATAAGGACATAAACATAACTATAACATAAAAACTCCCATAGTAGCTATGTGAGGACTCAACAAAATTATCTGAATAGAAACTGTGTTATTCAACCTGCTATATCTTAATCTTTGCTCTTTATTTTCTCATATGAAAGCAAGTAGAGAAAAAAGAAATGTTTTTTTTTGTTTTCCATCGATATTTAAGTACTCACTTCATAAATGACTACACTTTGTAGATTAATACCAATGCAGCCATTATTTACGTCCATGGAGTTTTGTATAGTTTAGCGTAAATATGAATAAAGATAGAAAAGAGAAGCTCGTTGAGGCGCGTACCATTTATATCACTGGATTACAAATGTGATCAAATTATCTCAAATCATCAACTTCTTCAAACATGGATACTTGCGACAAATATAGAAGCTTAATCTGCAAGGTCATACAAAGAGTGTTGATAAGTTAATTCTGGACTTGGCTGTTATACAAGCAAATTGTTGATAGAGTTACTTTGTTATTTTTTATTTCATCAAAGATGTGCCAATTTA